AATTTATTTCTAATATAAATTTTGTATAACTAATTTAATATTTAAATTATTAGCATCAATGTATACATCTTAGACTTCATATAATAATGCAATGCTTTAGTCACTTTTGTTTATCTATATGTCATTTATATTATTTGTATTATCTTAGTAGTCATTAGTTGTGGTATACACCTATTTGGTGACAGTGCATTTAGGCTGCTTGTGTGATTTCTATGGTCTATCTAATGTAGTTTTTAATGTTATGTTCGGTTGACTTTTTCTGATTTGTATTATATTTTGTATATTGCATCTTTTGTCTGAATAAATAATAATAATAATAATTAACAATAGTCACAAAACAAACCTAAAAAACGAATGTTTATTTTAACATGGTTACTTTGTAGAATCAGCTGGTATGGGACACTACAGCTGGAATAGTACGTTTGATTCTAATACGTCATCCGTAGTATTACAACAGCCTAAGAAAAACTCTCATACGGTATGTATGTAAGCAGTAATGCTCACATTTTTCATCAAATAAAATAAATAATAATAATGTTATAGCTATAAATAGTCTAAATTTTAAAGTGCCCCAATAAGTTAAAAACCAACTACGATTTTGATAGCTTTTATATTAATATATTAATATATTATATAATTTTCTCTGATTTACATTGTGTGATTTAGACGCATTGATGCAACACAAGCAATACTACTTATTAATATAAGAATGCTGACTGTTTCGGAGCTTTTTCTTACACTTCTGAAAACAGATGACCTTACACAGCATATTACGACCTATTTTGAAAATAGTTGTTAAATAAAGATTTTTGTTTCTAAATGGTTCTTACAAAGGAAGTATCATATGGTATAGACCCCACTGCTGTGAATTATGATAAAATAAGTCTATCTGAAATCCAATAAATTTGATTGGATCGTAATTTGTATTCAACAGAGATTGGAAGAAGAGGGACAATGGAAAACAAGTTTGATTGGATGCTGTGAAGACATGGAATCATGTAAGTGATGTTAAAATAATAATAATAATAATAATAATAATAATAATAATGTTGTTATTATATCATATTATATTATAGGCCTAAACACAATAATACACTATAATAATACAATATAATAGTTATAATTATAAATGATAATGATTCTGATATAACAACATTGATTGTAATTAAATATAATATTATAATTTTATTGTGAATGCAAATAATATTTAGATTATATAATACATATAAAATAATGATTATTGTGGTAACGGTTATTAATAATATTGAAAATAATAATAACAGTGGGAAAAACAATAGTATAATAATGAAACTCTTGTGAAAATATTTAATTATGAGTAATATCGAAGTGAGCTATTTGTAATTATCTTGAAATTCTTATTTGACTCGCAGTTTTACTATCAGTATTTTGTCCATTTTGTGTGTCATGCGATATTGCAAACCAGATTGGAGAGAACCCCTGCATCGCTATAGTACCTGGTGGGTTGCTGGCACTACGGACGAGAATACGAACAAAGAAAAACATCAAGGTACGGTAAAATTGATATTAAGCTCTGGCCACACTATTGTATGTGACAAATGTGTCTGATGTGCAGGGGTGGCGCCAGCTGGGGGTGGGGGTGGCCGTCCCCTCCCCCTTCTCGGGGAGAAAAAACACAATTCGCCTGGGAGAAAAAAAGAATTATATGTATTTTCTACATATTAGTAGACTCTAAAATCTTATTAAATAAGCCTTTGAAACCCATAAATTGTAAAAATTTTCGGAGGCTGCTCCCCCTGGACCATTGTAAAGACATTTGATTGGGGACCTCGGACCCTTCGTCGGGAAAATCCTGGCGCAACCCCTGGTGATGTGCCCATACATGGGCATGATGATGTCATATTACACACAAATATGGATAATCTTTGTCCCATTATGGTTTGATAGTGTTGACATGAGAGCTAAAAACACTTTAAGCCCTGTCCAACTTTTATTTCACAAAACATGTGACATGCCTAAATATGGCAATTATGACATCACATCATGACCATATATAGGCACATCATGACCATATATAGGCACATCATGACTATATAATATGGACACACATTTTTTTTTTTTTTTTTGAGTTTGTTTTGTCGAATTATATTTGATAGTCTGGACAGGGCTTAAGAATATCTTATTTATTATGACATTAATGATTTTGTAGATGTTATAACGTTTGGGCCCGCACTTATAACATACTATGCTTTTGTAAAAGTAAACATCCTGAAATATCCTTTCTTGATTGGCTTAAATCTAAGCATGTCTTAATTTACGTACTTAAACGCATGGTAATTAATGAGATGCACGATATGTAATTGAATCACATCATTCATTGAATGTGATTTCCTGCTTTTCAGGGCTCATTGTGCGAGGACTGTATGGTACAGTGCTGTTTTTGTCAGCTATCTATCGGGCAGATGTACCGTGAAGTCAACACAGATAAGACCAAGGGGCCGAGTGGTGGATGGACAATGGTTTAATGTGACCTTTTTTTTTGTATGTTGGTGAAGGAGGTATTAGGTT